AAGAAAGAAAGAAAGAAAGAAAACTGACTTTCCAGAAACAGCCATTCTCTGTCCTCAGTTTCTTAGTCTGACACTTGCTGGGCCGTGTGCATGCGTGTGTATGTGTGGTGTGTGTGCATACACATGCACGCATGTGCGTAGCGTGTGAGATCTGGGAGCAGGAGAGAGAAAGGAAGGCATTTGCCCCGCACAGCCATCGAGATAGAGGATCTGAGATACTCCACTTTCTTTCCACGGGGTTTCTGTGAATCTGGAAACTCCTTACTGTCTTGAGAGCAAGTCTGATGAGCTCCCGGGCTACAACAATTCCCAGACAAGTGCTACTTCCTGCCCGAGACAAAAAGTGTTTATAACCTAAGTGACTTGTCTGAGATCTCACGGTCAGCCAGGATGCCAATGCCACTCTTCTGCTTGATTTTTCCTCCCATGACCCTATGATGTCTTTTCTGGGAAGCTCTTTCAGACAGAAATGATACCTGTTGGGTAAGGAATCTCTAGGGCTGTAAAAGCAACTGAAAATTCTTGCAAGCTCGGGGCAGGATGATTTTTCTGAATCTGCAAAGTGGGTGATCAGACGCTGGATGGGGGTAACACCCAACCCCGGAGCGATGAGCCCCCAGACCCAACTCTACCTACAGTGCAGACTCCTTTCCATCTATGACATCTCCCTTCCGGAGCCAGGATGCCTTTAAACACTTAGACTGGGGAGCAGGGGATCATGAGTATAGGTTCCAGAACCCCCCCCACCCCCGGTGTACTCAGAGGGGCACACTAATAATAAACAAGAAGGAATCTTTCCCTAAAGCTACCGAAAGCTTCCCGGAAGCCAGGCGCTCCCGTCACGGTGGCAGATTGTTTTCCTGCCCCCAGCACGTGCTACCTCGCCGTTCCTCTGAACTGCAATGCCCTTCCCTGTCTGAGTGCTCTGTCTGAACCACATCCCCCTCTCCACAAAGTCTGAGCTCACGGTGGCCTCTTGCTGCCCCAGCGCCATTTCTTCTCGGTGAGGGAGTGACAGGTGAACAGCTCTGGGGGAGGAACAAACCTGAGTTCAAATTCCACCGGCCACCTTGTGGCTCTGTGGTCCTAGCCTAGTTGCCTAACGTCTCTGAGCCTCGGGGCCCCTCTTGTGTCAAATGGAGGTCACCAGAGTTAGCCTGTGGGGCTGCCATGAGTGTAGGAACAAGAGTAAGGGCTCAGGGGCACCCGGGGGGGGGGGGGCTCAGTCAGTTGAGCGGCTGACTTCAGCTCAGGTCATGGTCTCACGGTTCGTGAGTTCGAGCCCCGCTTCAGGCTCCATGCTGACAGCTCAGAGCCTGAAGCTTCCTCTGGATTCTGTATCTCCCTCTCTCTCTCTGCTCCTCCCCTACTTGCGCTCTGTCTCTTTCTCAAAAAATAAGCAAACATTAAAAAAAATAAATGAAAGGCCCTCACACATGTTGGTCTTTGGTCTTTTCAAGTTGACTGTAAGCAGCTCCTTGTTCACCCATAGCCTCGTGGGGCAGGGAAGTGGTGGCTTGGGGAACTATCTGTGCTTCTGGCATTCTCTGGAGCTAGGGGCTGGGACACGGCCTCGGGACCTGAGTGGGCAGCACACGCTCTGGTCCTGCTTTGCCCCCCAGAGATCCTGGCGGAAGCCAGTGGACTCTCTGGAGGCCTGCAGGGTCAGGACACGGCCACCAGGGGGCAGCAAGTCCCCTGTGATAGCTAGCTCAGGGTGGCTGTGACGGTAGAAGTGGGGACAAGGGTCCAGGTGGCCTCTCAGCCCCAGATGTGGGAGCTAACTTAGGGAGCCCAGAAGCCAGCACCGCTGCATTCTCGGAGGCAGGCAGGGGAAGTGATTCCAGGCTGGGCCTCAGCTCTCCTCTCTGTCAATGCACACATTTGTCCCTGGTGCCCACCCGGGGCTGCACCGGTCACTACCCGAAGGGGGTGGCGGTGGGGGGAGCCCGTGGGCACAGATTCCAGCCTCTCCAGAGCGCTCGCTGCACCTGCTGGTGTTTGTTTGCCAGTGACTGATATTCCTGGGGTGGGGGTGGGGCGGGGTGATCCGTTTCACCGAGGCTGGATAAACAACAGCTTGTGGGGGCCCCTGGGTCTGGGTTTCCCTGAGTGGCCACTGTCATCCCTGCACACGGCTTCCTGCCATCCTTCCAGGCCAGCGGCCCCCAGACAGCCTCTTCCTCGTCCCACTGCCTGCTGTCGCTGCTGGACTGACCCCTTCAAACGGGGCCCATAAGGCCCCTCTCTAGATCTGGGCCCTGCCCATGGTGGCCTCACCCCTTCCTGCCCTGTAGCAGTCCCCCCAACCCTGGAGATGGAATCCTTCCTTCTGCCCTGAAATCCTTACCGCCCCCCTCCCCCGGCCCCAGAGTGCCATGGACCATGAGGCAGCCTATCTAGAGCCCCAATCCGGGCCCCCTCCTCAAGGCCTCCCTCCCGGCCTGACCCCTTCCCTGCCTGCACCCTGGGGGTTCCCAGTTTGCTCTCAGAGGCATCCACTGTATAGACTCATTCCCTCCCCCGCCCCCAGAGCCGCAGCCCCACCCTTTCCTTCCTCCTCCTCCCTCCTCCCACCACCGACCTCTCTGTATTGACCAGCTAGGTCTCAGTGCCGCGCAGGAAGAATCGTGGGACAAACCACCCCTTGGAGAGCTGGCGATGCCGGAAGCTGCGGGGATCCCCCCGCCAAAATCCACGAGGTGACATAGGACTCAGGACCCAGGAGCATGACGCTTGAGGGGCGAGAGGCAGGTAAAGTATCCAGAACAGGCCAGGAAGGGAGAGGACAGTGGCCGGCAGGTGAAGAACAGGTGAGGAATCTAGAAGCTTGAAGCTGATCCCCAAACGAGCTGAGTGCGGTAGGCGGGGAAACTAGGTTTAGCTGCAGGGGAGGGGTAATGGGAGGAGAGGTGGGGGTTGTGGGGGGGGGGGATCCACTGGAGGGGTGCCTCCATAGGAAATCAAAAGCTGGACCATGAAACCTAAAGACCTACAGTGTGGGCTGAGGGGAGCAAGGACCAGACTATGTGGTCACCTTACTCCTCTGGACTCAGTTTCCCCATCTGGAAACTAGGGCCCCCAGCTCCAATAGTGCCAGCCTATGATGGGGGCTGCTCCTTCCAGTAATGTCACTCCTTGGTGGTGGGAGGGGTGTGGCTGTTGAGTCACTGTCAATGAGAATAACCCAGGGTGCTCACTAGAATTACAGCTGCCTGAGCCCCACTCCCGACCCCCTGGCTCAGACCCCCAGCATCAAGGCCCTGGAACGTGTATTTTCAAAAGGTGCCCCACCCCCACCCTTCTGTGCCGCACAGCCTGTTCCTGGGCCCTGCCTTCCAGGCAGAAAATGCACCTTGAGACATGCAATCGAGAAACAGCATCCATGGGAGCAAGAAACGCCATGGAGGACTTCTTCCCTCTAATGGGGGAGCCAGGCCACCAAGGGGTGGGGTGGGATGGGCCTGGCAATTGGGATTGCCATTTGGCTGGGCCTAGCTGGGGGTGTCTGCACAGAGTAAGGGTGAATGAAGATCTCAGGGTCGAGGTCAGGCTGCAGAGAGAAATCTAAGGCTCTAACTTCACCCTTCCACCCTCCCTAGCTGGCCAGCCTCAAGCCACCCTGGGGCCCCCGGCCAATGGCAGTGGGCCAAGCCAGGAGTTGGAAGGCCATTGGCCAGAAATCCCGGAGAGGTCCCCATGTGTGGCTGGTGTCATCCCTGTCATCTACTACAGCATCCTGCTGGGCCTGGGGCTACCTGGTGAGTGGGAAGCTGGGGTCTGGAAGTTGGGGGTGGGCAGAAATGGGGGTCCTCCTTCGATGAGTACCCATCCTCTGTGCTGACCCCTGAGACCCAGGATCATAGACTCTCAGGATACCCTTTGACTTTATATGGTGATCTGGCTCATTGGGGAGCAAAGCACAGTGGGGACTAAAAAATGAAGGGCCAAGATTTGGGGTGCTTAATGGCTAAAGCCAAGGTTTCACCAGAAGGGAGTCTTTTCTCTACCCAGGAGTGGGCACTGCTGTAGGATGACTAAGTTCATGTAGAACTGCGCTCAACTCAGTCAAAAGCTTCCCGTGCCTTCCACCGCTTCTGAGAGCAGCAAAGCGGGGGGGAGGGGGGGGGCGGGCAGGTAGGGAAGTGGATGTAAGAAAGAACAGGAGGTCTCCACCTTGGGGAATTACCCACCCCTGCCCGTGTGGAAGGCAGAGGCCTTGCCCTGGGGTGAAGTCAATGGCCCGTGGTGTATGGATGGATAGGGCAGGACTGATCTGGTTAGCCTCTCTGATAAAGTGAGGTTTTACTTTGTTTTGTTTTTAGTTTATGTATTTTGAGAGAGACCTAGAGCACAAGCACAGGAGGGACAGAAAGAGAGAGGGAGAGAGAGAGAGAATCCCAGGCAGACTCTGCTGTCAGCACACAGCCCGATGTG